GGTGGGGTGGGGGGGTACGTGGGGGTGTAGCCGGGAGGGGCGGGGGGCTGTGGCGGGGGGCACGTGGGGGTGGGGCGGGGGGCGGCCCTGGGGCAAGGGGTTCAGAGGGCGATGGGGGCTGGGGCGCTCAGAAGGGGATGAGGGAATTGTGCTGGGGGGGGTGGGGAGGGCGAGGCGGATTGGCAGGGTTGCGGAGGGGCCAGGGGGCAGTGGGGTTGGCGGTGGGGGGGGGCTTAGCACCCCACATCTCTCTGGGGCAGTGACACTGGCAGGGCTGTCCTGGCTCTTGCGTGACTGGTACGTGCTGGGCTGTAGCCCGAGGCCAGGGGCGGTGGGGTCTGCACGGCACCCCCCTCCCCTGGACAGGGCTTGCAGGGGGCAGGGCCATGGGGGCTGCATGCCTGGCGCTCTGCACGGAGAGTCTGGGCCATGGGTCCCCGCCCCATGGAGCTTCCAAGGGGGTATGGCTGTTCCTTGGCTGTGCCAGCACAAGCCACCTGACTGCAGGCCGTGGTGACCTGGAGCTGACCCAGGGCTGAGTCGTTCCTGACAGGCGTTTGTGCAGCGCAGGAAGGGCCGGAGCGCAGAGGCCGAGCTGAGGCCTGGCGGGGTGCAGCAGCCGTCCCCGCCAGCCCTTCCTGCGCACGGGTTGAGCTTGCACGGGCAGCAGTTGCGCTGAACACAACTGGAGCCTGGCCCTTTGTGGGGAAGGGAACACGTTCACCTGGGAACGGAGCTTTGGGGGAGCCGGACCGGGACGCCAGCCACCTGCACGCAGCTGAGAACCGGGGATGCATGAGCAGGGCCATGGTGCGGCTCAGTCCTGGGGCCGTAGCCGACTCCTGTTCTCCCTGGATCAGACTTCTCGGTGACCTTATCAGGCCATAAAGTTCTTCTGTCCCGTCATCAATGGGGTGGAAACGTTGCCTGTGTCTGGGAGTCTGCCCTGGCCCTGCCCTGGGGGAGCAGGTCGGGGGTGAGAACAGGGAGTCTTTATGGGAGAAAAGAGTTTGGGGGGTGTCTGGTCTTTATTTTCCCTCCGTGCGTAGGGGAGACGGGGGGATGGGCTGTCTTCAGGCCCTGCCGGGGTTGACGGTGCTCACTGACTTCACCCGTGCTTCCCCTCACAGGTCTGCAAATGAAGAGCCCTGAAAAGAAACGGCGCAAATCCAACACTCAGGTAGGGGCACGGCTGGGACCCTGTGCGTTCAGACTCCGTGATAGGAGTGTGGGGGCCAGGCTGTCAGACCAGCACCATGACACGAGCACATGCATGGCACCTGTGGGCACAGACAGCCCCACCCACAGCAGGCTGGAGCCAAACCCTGGGGCTGCTCGGAGTGTCCTGCATCAGGGCCACCGGCCGGACATGCCACACCCCCATGGAGCAGCACGCAGCCAGTGGGGGCTGTACGGGCAGCGGTGCCCGTCCTCGAAAGCAGCTAGTGGTGGCTGTTCCCATGGCCTGGGGACTATCCCAGTGTCCCCGGTGCCTTTGACACGGATGGCGCTAGGAGCCCAGGGTCCCTGCTCCAGACAGGGCTCGTCTCTCTCCCCGCCCCCTCCCTCCCCCAGTAGCAGGAGGCTCCTGGAGGGGCGGCTTCCTGCTGCTCCGAATGCCGTCCGTAGCCAGGCTATGCAGAGGAACTACGGGGCTCGGCCCTGCCAGTGCTGTGTGTCTCCGCCCAGGCCCTGCCTGGCACCAGCGGGAGCTGAGGGCCCTGTACTCCTGGTATCCCTGGGCCCCACACGTCTGCTTGTTGCGTGGGTAAGCCCCACACTGACTCCTGTGCCTTCTCCCCACAGGGCCCTGCCTATTCCCATCTCTCCGAGTTCGCCCCGCCCCCGACTCCAATGGTCGATCACTTGGTGGCCTCCAACCCCTTTGAAGATGACTTTGGGGCGCCTAAAGTGGGGGCCTCGTCGGCTCCGTTCCTCGGCAACCCGGTGCCCTTTGGGAACTTCCGCATGCAGGGGGGCATGACATCCCAGGTGCCACCGGGCTACGGGGGGGGCCCCCAGGCCATGCGGAGGCAGCCCCCGCCCTTCGCCCCGAGCCAGATGGGCCCAGCCTTCAGCATGCCCCCCCAGAACCCCAACTACGTGCAGCCTGGTGCCATGAGCTTCCCCAGCCAGCCCTTCAACCAGCCTCTCGGACAGAACTTCAGCCCCCCCGCAGGACAGCTCATGCAGGGGCCAGTTGGGGGCTTTGGGCCCATGATCTCCCCCACCATGGGGCAGCCTCCCCGGGGAGACATGGCACCGGGGCCTGCCCTGAATCCCCCTGCCGGCCCCCCCATGGCCCAGAGGTTCAGCCAGCCCGCCAATCTCTTTGGACAGTCTCCCATGCAGCGGCCCAGCCAGAACCTGCCCCCAAACACCAGCCCCTTCCCTGGGGCTGACCCCGGCTTTCCGGCTGGGGGGGATGACGGGGGGAAGAACCTCAACCCCCCTCCCAGCACCTTCAGCCAGGAGCCGCACTCAGGCTCACCAGCCGCGGTGAATGGGGCCCAGCCGAGCTTCGCCCCCAGCAGCGCCAGCCGGAGCAGCAGCACCCCCGAAGCTAACAGCCTCCCGCCCTCCAGCAAGGCGTCTGGCAACTCTGGGCACCAGCCACCGCCGGGCCTGGTGTACCCTTGCGGGGCCTGCCGCAGCGAGGTGAACGACGACCAGGACGCCATCCTGTGCGAGGCCTCCTGCCAGAAGTGGTTCCACCGGGAGTGCACGGGCATGACAGAGAATGCCTACGGGCTGCTCACCACCGAGGCCTCGGCCGTCTGGGCCTGCGACTACTGCCTGAAGACCAAGGAGATCCAGTCGGTATACATCCGGGAGGGCATGGGGCAACTGGTGGCGGCCAATGATGGCTGAGTGGGCGCTGGGCCCGGCTAGGGAGGGGCCGTGCTGCCCTCCCCTCGTACAGATCCCTGCGTGGTTTTTGGGCCAATCCCCCCCCCTTATTTTGTAGCCACCCCTCTCCGTGCGTGCAAGAGACGATGTCGAGGGCTGGCGTCTGGCTTCGGTAATGTTTCCTCTCTGTTCTTGCTCGTCTGCGTGGCTGGGCCTGGTGCAGCTCATGCTCTTTTAAAATACTTGGTGTGTCCATTGGAGGGAGAGGAGAGACCAGTTCCTGCCCCCAGATACCCCCGCGCCTGCCAGCCCAGAGTGTGAAGTCCGGCTCGGGGCTCTGAGGTCTCTGTTACTGGCCGAGCTGAGCGCCAGTGGTAGCAGAATCTCTGTCTGGGGGCAGAGTAAGTGACTGTTTCACAGAGAGCCCTGGGGCCGGGGGTGTCCTGCAAATGCGGATGCTCAGAGCAGTTTCTACTGCATAGAAGTGGGGCGGAGCTGGCGAGGGCTGTGTCCTGGTGATGGGGGAGCTGTGGTGTGACCCCTAGAGCTGGGAGCTGAGCCCAGAGCAGTGTTACAGATCTTCTCCCCCACCCCTGGCCACAGCGAGGGCTGGGAACAGCCAGGGCTCCGTCTCCTGGCAGGGACCTGTAGTGGAACCAGCACGCTGAGCCCTTTGCACTTGATGGGTGTGAGTGTGTCTGTCCCACCCCTGAGCCGCCACTTCCCAAGCAGCACTCGGCTCTGTGCTGTTGCCGGAGGGGAGGGCAGTGCGTCTGCACCATGATTGTGGGGGCGAGGTGCTGCCTGCGTGCGTCAGAGCAGCAGGGAAGGCGGCTTTCTCTCCCTTTCCCCAGACCGCAGCCGGTGCTCGGGACGTGTGTGGAATCCCGGCTGAGTAGCTGGAGTGCAGGCCCCTCGGAGCCGAGCTGGGCCTGCTGCAGGTGCGAGGTGGGTTCTCCTGATCACTCACAAATTGTGTCTGTGGCGAGACCCCCCAGCCACAGCGCTCTCGGCGCCCTGCCCCCCGGGAGGAGCTGCTCTGCCAGGTCCTGCTGCACGCTGGGTTTCCGTAAAGCTCCAGCCCTGGGCCTGGATGAGGTGAGACCCAGATTTCGTTCCAAGTCACCCCCCAACCCGGGGGGCTGCTGAGAGCAGCTGGGAGACGGCCCCAGGGGCTCCACAGCCATTGTTGGATATCCTCGCACTTTGGGGTCTGACTCACGATTTTTGAATGCCTGGGGCCCATGGAGCCTCCAGACCCCATCATGCCATGCTGGGTGGGAGAGCCAGACACACCCTGCCCTGCTGGGCCTGTCTGCGCTAGGGGGAGCGTGGCTGCTCCATTCGTCATTGGTTGGATGGTGCCTGTTGCCTTCTGGGTGCCCATGAAAGCCAGTGGGCGGTTACGCAGCTGAGCAGAAGCTGCCCGTGCCCCTTTCCAGCGTGAGCTACGTCACAGGGCTGGCTACAGGTACAGGGCCGGGGAGGCGCGGAGGGTCCCGCTGTCCCTGGAGCGTGGGGGGCGCACAGGTTGGAAATGCGCATGTTGTGCCCAGGCCACGCGCTCTGGCAAAGCAGGACCCAGGCCCGTGGAAGCAGCTTCTGAACGGGGTGGAAACGTCAGCTCAGTCTGTCCGGGCCCCTCCTGTCCCGCCCCCCACGCACAGGGCTAGGGCTCGGAGCAGGCAATAAGCAGCAGTGGGTGTGAAGGTGTTTTCCTGGGGTTGCCAGCAGCCCAGCACAGAGCTGCCTCCCTTCCCTCTGTGCCAGGGACGTAGCCTGCTGCAGGGCCTGGCTCCCAGCCTGCTGGGCTGCTCCGTGGGCAGCTCAGGTCACCAGCCCGTCGGATTCCCTCGGCTGCCTGGCAGTTCGTTCACACCGCTCGGCGCTGTCATTCCAGGCAGCGGCTCCACTCGGGTCATGTTTGTGAGGGTCTCTTGGCTGCCACACGTTTAAAGCAAAGTGGGGATTCTGGAACAGACACCCAGATCCAGGGCCCTGCGCCTGCTGCTGGTGTCGGCGAGAGCTGTGGAGCCCCCGGGGCCGGGGCACCCCTTAGCCGGTGCAGGGGGCAGCTTGCTTTCCACCAGTGGTGCAGGCCTAGATTAGCGAGCTGTGGTGGTGGTCGGGGGACTGTCTGGACCCGGTTAAGCAGAGAGTGAGACTCGTGGGGGGAGGCGTGAACCCAGAGGCCTGGCCTGGTAGATGGGCTGGGTCTCTTCCTGCTCCAGTGGCTGAGGGGGGTGGGCAGGTGGTGGCAGGGGCCTGACATGAGCTATGGGTGGGGGGGGGGGGTCTGAGCTGAGAACAGCAGCACTGGAAGCAGCTTGGTGCATGGCACAGGGGCTGATTGGCAGGTGCACACTTCGCCCTGCTGTGTACACACATCGCCCGGAGGCAGGTCTGCTAGCTGGCTAACAGCTGCTCGTGTTTAGTAGCCATGGGCCATCCCAACCCTCGCTGGGCACCCTGGACTGGGCTGCAGCTGGCCTGTGTGCTGGGCCCTGCTGCTCTCGGGTGGGTTGGGGGAATCGCCTGGTTTTGTTAATTTCTTGCTGTTTTGATGACTTGTTCCCTTTTGTAAAGTGGTTGCTGGTGTGGTTTGTAATCGTTTTTAACCTCCCAGAGCTTTCTGCAGGACCAGGGGGCGCGGTCTTGCCCCGTTTTAACAGTCTGAGCATTAAAGGAAAACTTTTTGTATTGTCCAGCTATAAAGCTATTTGAAAGCAGACTCCTGTCTGTCCGTCTGTCCGAGACCCACCGTTGCGCTGGGTTGGTTTTGCTGAGAAATTCTGCTCTGTTAGCCTCTCCCATGAGGGTGCCAGCAGTGCCCCCCACCCCCTGGCCTGGTATATTAGTGCCCCCCACCCCCTGGCCTGGTATATTATCTGCACACCCTGGGTAGCATCTAGCCCAGGGATCGGCAACCTTTGGCACACGGCTTGCCAGGGTAAGCCCCCTGGCGGGCCGGGCCAGTTTGTTTACCTGCCGCGTCTGCAGGTTCGGCCGATCGCGGCTCAGGCCCGTGGGGGCTGCGGGATGTACTGGCCGCCGCTTCCTGCCGCCCCCATGGGCCTGGGCCGGCGAACCGCGGTCAGTGGGAGCCGCGATCGGCCGAACCTGTGGACGCGGCAGGTAACAAACCGGCCCGGCCCCCAGGGGCTTACCCTGGCGAGCCGCGTGCCAAAGGTTGCCGACCCCTGAGCTACCTGCTCCCAGGAGTCCAAGGCCCGGGCTTCCCTGGCCCCTTGGTCGCCGCAAAGGAACTGGAGTAGTAGGCGGGGCGGGGCAGGGGCCCAGGTGTCTGGGCCTGACTCGGCCCAGTGGGTGCGGGGCTGAGGCCCTTGCCCGGGGGCTTGGCGAGACGAAAGTGCCTCCGGGCCCCGAGCCTGGCGCAGGCGAAGCAGAGGCGAGAGGCGGCTGCTCCCCGAGGTCAGGGGGGTGACCAGGGCTTTCCTCCCCCAGCCCTGGGGGGCCGCTCCCTGCTGCGGATGGGCAGTGACCTACGTGCCGCGAAGCTTCGTGTGGGGAGCCCGTCACCTGCGTGGGGCGCTGTGGGGCCGGGCTCCAGGCCCCGGGTCTGCGCTGGCTCACGGGGGCCAGGCGGGAGCTGCTGGCGGGGGTGGGTGGGGCCAGGCCAGGCATTGCCAGGGCCGGGCTCTGATGCCACCTCCTGCCCGGGGTGTGTGTGGGGGGGGGGGGCTGTCTCCTCCCTCCCGGGGAGCCCCGCCCGACAGCTGGGGAGCAGCGGGTGTCTCCCATTGGCTCCGCGGGTCACGTGCGCCCTCCCGCCCGTCCGGAATGTAGCGAGCCGCTGGCGGAGTTTGATACAAAGTTGCTGCGACGCGCCGGGGCCGGGACCCCCCCGGGAGACAGAGCCAGGTGCCCCCGGCCCAGCGCCCCCGTCAGCCCGGAGCAGGTCAGTGAGCCCGCGGGGACCGGAGACCCTGGCCCGGCTGCAGCCCCCCGCCCGGGGCGCGCCCCCATCCCGGGGGGCTGATGTTGGGGTGTCGCCGGTCCCAGGGGGGTTGGGCGCCTTCACCGGCGGCTGCAGGTTGGTCCTGAGAGGGGCTGGGGGGGGCCCTGCCCTGCCCTGAGGCGCCGGGTCCCTGGCACGCAGGCCAGCGGGGTGAGCTCTCCCGGTGCCCCCCGGCTCCCCGGTGCCATGGCTTCCCCGGGGAGGGCGTCTCACCCGCACGGCTCCGATAAACTCCTTCCTGTGAGGCGCTGCCAGCAGCGCCCGGGGAGGAGGGGACAGAATGGCCCCCCCAAGCCGTGCCCGGGGCCCCTCGTGCTGAGTTGGAGCTGCCCTTCCCTATGGAGCCGCTGGGCAGACGGAGCGTCCCCGCCTCTGCTTCCACCTGCTAAACTGCATTAAAACCAGCTAAAAATAGCTCCCCAGTGTCACTTTCCCATGTTGCAACTGGTGCCATTGGCATGGGGCTCGGGAGGGGGAGGGGAGGCAGGGGCACGGTGGGGGCTGCGCAGGGAACAGGACGGTGGGGCTCAGTGGTGTGGGGAGACGGGCGCCCCGGGCAGCACTCCAGGAAGGTTGGCTCATGCCTGTAGACCTGGGGTTCTCAACCGTTCTCTTTCCACGGCCCACCTGGGCCCCTGGAACTGGTTTTCTGCATGTAAAAGCCAGGGCTGGCATTAGGGCAGGGCAATTGCCTGGGGTCCCTTGCCACAGGGCCCCCCACGAAGCTACATTGGTCAGCTTCGGCGTCAGTCCTGGGTGGCAGGACCCCTTTGGCTCTCTGTCCTGGGCCCCACACTGGCCATGCTTGGTGGACCCCCTGAAACCTGCTTGCAGCTCCCCAGGGGCCTCGGACCCCTGCTTGAGAGCCACTGCTGTAGACCCTCTTCAGTGTCACCCCAGGGGGCTGGGCCGTGGGCCCCCTTGGGCAGCTCCCCCGTTCCGGCAGTCTCACCTCGCTGCAGCATTTCCTGCCTTTCCTCACATTGGGGCACTTCCTGCTTCTCTCAGAGCTCGGTGACCTGCCCTGAGAGAGCGAGTGCTGGAGAGGACCTGCGCTCCCCTGGGCTGGTGCTGGAGTGGGAGAGCCCAGACCTCACAGCCGTCCCAGGACAGGGGCAGGATCTTTATCCCCATTGTACTAATGGGGAAACCGAGGCACATGGTGGGGAAGGGACTCCCGCAAGGTCACACCGTGAGTCTGTGGTAGCAAAGCCAGGAATAGAACCCAGGAGTCCTGGCTCCCAGCCCCCCACTGCCCTGCTTGCCGAGGGGGAGCCAATAATGGCACCCGCCCAGCCCAGTTCTTCCTTTGATGTGAACCCAAACTGTGTGACTTCATCTTATTGTCATGGAAACATTGTGAGGTCATGGAGTTGGCTTTGTGACATCACTGCAGGGGCCGTTGGAGTGAGGTCTACTCCGGGTGGGAAGGAAGCTCCCGGCTGAAATCCCAAGAGCCCCGGGGGCAGGAAGCTCCGAGACGGGCAATGGGGAGTGACCCCTCTCTCTGGAAGCACCTGGAGCTCCAGTCCCAGCCTGGCACCTGGACACCCTCCCCTTCTCTGGGCGGCCAGCTGCCATTCGAGGCCTGGGGCCTCATACACCAGGTCCTGGGCCAGCTGGGAATGCCCGCCCCCGGGTGGGCCGGGCTCCTTGGCAGCCGTGCAGGGAATGCGCTGAATCCCGGGAGGCAGCTGGCTCCTCCCTGCCCCCTTCCCCTGTCCCCGAATCTCCAGCCCTCAGACCCTGCCCGGGGAATGAGCCTGCCCTCCCCACATCGCGCCTGGCTGGGGGACCAGGGATCTGTGTTATCAACGGTGCCAAACCCGGGCCCCTCCCACTGCCCCTGCAAGGGAGAGGGGACAGGTGGGGTTGGCAGCTCCGGCTCCTGGCTCTATTCCCAGCTCGGTAGAGCGGGGTGGGGTCTCTCCCTGGCTCCCGTCCCGTCTGGCGCCGCGGTGGGAACACGGCGTTCCCGCTCCCATTGGGAGGCCAAGCGGCGCGGAAACGGGGCCTGAAGGTCTCTTTGTTTTCATTTGCAAATTTCCCTTTGCAAGTCAAATCACCCAGGGCAGCACCTCAGCCTGGGCACCCGGAGCTGTGCAAAGTCCCTGTCCCGGGCGTCAGGCGTTCCTTGTGCTCTGGGCAGCGTCTCTCCCCTGGCCCCGGGTCGCTGCCGGCTGCCCCAGCACTGACCCCTCGGTCCCCTGCAGGTGGGATCCGGGCTGTCCTGGGACCGGAGCAGGAATGGCCGAGAACTCGGACTCGCGGGACTCGGATAACAGCTGGGTGATCGCAGGCTCCGAGGTGCGGCACGAGGCCCTGGGCTGCAGGGTGGGGATGTACCAAGGGGGGGCCCTGGCCAAGCCGGTCTCTTCGGTTCTTGCTCCTTCTCCCGCTGGCCCAGGGTGCAGAGCTCCTCGGGGGTGGGGGAATTGGCTTTCCCTGGCCTCTGCTGCGACCCCCTTTGCCACCTCTGCCCCAAACCCCTGCCCCGCTGCTGCCTCCTGCTCAGGGTTCTTGGGTGTCTGAGCTGCCTGCCCTTGGGTGAGGGTGTCGTACTGTCCCCCCCCCTTTGGGTTTGCTGGCGAGATGGGGTCTGGGCCCCAAACATGTCCTGGGGGGCAGCGGGGGTGGGGGCCTGACACTCAGGAGATCTCATTTCAGCCTCTGAGGATCGTCTCTGCTGCCCCTTGTCCCGGGCAGCGCGGGGAGGGCGGGTAGTGACTGGTGTAACGTGCCCTCTGTGTCTCCAGGGTTTGCCCGTGGAAACCGTGGGCCCAGAGCTGGGCACAGTCGCCCAGACTCCAGTGGACGAGGAACCAGCAGGACACGCCCTCCCCAAGGGGCACAGCGCCGAGGATGTGCACACGGGCACGTGAATGGAGCAGATATGGGATGAGCCCCCCCAGCCCCTCGGGCTGTCTGCCCCTGGCTTCCCCCCCCATTCTGCCCAGCCTCCCCAGCCCCCAGGGCTGTCTGCCCCCGGCTTGCCCCTGCCCAGCCCCCCCGCCCACGCTTGCTGCCTGATACAGGCGCATCCCTGGCCCCATGGGTTGCTCTGGCCGCCTGGCTGGGTTCCCAGCTCCCCCTTCCCCTTTGGGCTGAGGGGGAGGATCCCTGGGCCTCTTTTGGCTGGGGACGGAAGGGGGGGCTTCCTCAGGTGCCCATCAGGGCTTCTGCATCGGGCAAGAGGGGCCCTAGCTCCCATCCCCCTCCTCCGGCACTGGCTTCCCCGCTTGCTGCCCTCTGGACGCTAACGAGGCCGTCTCTCCCTAGCCGGCGCGTCCCCAGGCAGGAAGAGCGAAGGCTCCCAGCTGAACATGTCCCCCGGCCTCGAGGAGGCTGAGTTCAAGGTATGTTTGCTGGGGGCGGGTCACAGATTCCCACGCCAGAGACCTGCCCCCAAGTGATCCCTAGAGCAGAGGTGTTCGGAAACCAGCCACTCACCATTTAAAAGTTGACAGTGATGGAGAACCCAGCACACCCCTGGGTCAGTTGTTCCAACAGTTAATTCCCCTCACAGTTAAATATTTACACCTGATTTCCAATCTGAATTGGTCTAGCTTCAACTCCCAGCCATTGGCTCCGGTTAGACCTTCCTCTGCTAGAGAGACGAGCCCCGGATGAAATATTTGTTCCCAGATAGATCCTCAGACTGGGATCAAGTCACCCCTGAACCGACTCTCTCTGTTCAGCTAGACAGACTCAGAGCTCAATCAGTACAACTAACCAACCAGCCCCACTGCCTG